AGCCAACAAAGAATCAAGGATTTTTTATGAGTTCCTGCAAATCCAATACTAATTTGAGTGCACGTAGCAGCAAGCATACCAGAGAGCCTAAATGCATCCCAAATGTCTCATCGTGTGTGCATGAGGTCAGGCTGCTCTACAGCTCAATGCTGGACAATACAGTTCCAAGAAAAGGATTATAAAGTGCACCTCTGGTACAAACTCGGGGCTTTTAAAACTGTATTTTAATATTAAAAAGCAACAGAAGAGCCTCGTGAGTGTATCGCAGAAAAAAAGAAACAACAGAGATTCCAGATGTGGCGTAAACACAAAACATGCAAAATACACTTTTTTTTTCAGAAGTCACGTTTTCATTTAACTAAACAGGAGAACATAATAATGTTAAATCACATATTGATATTTGTATAGCAGCAAAGAGACAGCAAAATCACAATTATGATGGTGCATCTCATTTAGCAGCCGAGTGTGATGCAGCTGGGATGAGAATCGGCTCCTCTAAATCCCAGACCATGGTCTTGATTCGGAAAAGGGTAGAATGCCTTCTTCAGGTCAGGGACGAGTATCTCGGGTTCACAAATGCGAACGTTTACTGGTTTGTTGTGTTGAAGAACGATCTGAGCCGGTTGATCAACGTTCCTACCCTCATCTATGGTCACGAGCTTTGGGCAGTGTCCAAAAGACCGAGATCGCGGATACAAACGTCCGAAATGTTTGTGTTTGTGTTTATTCGTTTGGCAGACGCTTTTATCCAAAGTGACGTACAATTTTTTACTTGCAGGGCATGTTGTGATCCGTAGGGGAAACTGGAGTACCCGGAGGAAACCCACACACGCATGGGGGAGAACGTGCAACTCCACGCAGAAAGGCCACAGCCGAGTTTCCAACCTGCAACCTTCTTGCTGCGAGGCAACAGTGCTAACAAGTGTAACACCATGCAGCCCCAGAAATGAATTTTCTCCGCAGCTAGGCTTGTTGGACTCTTCCTTAGAGATAGGGTGAGAAGCTCAGTTATCCGTGAGGGGCTCGAAGTAGAACTGCTGCTCCTCCACATCAAAAGTTGAGGTGGCTAGGGCATCTCGTCAGGGTGTCTCCTTGACGCCTCCCTGGTGAGGTTTTCCGGGCACGTCCAACCGGGAGGAGACCTAGAAGAAGACCCAGGACACGCTGGAGGGACTATGTCTCTCAGCTGGCCAGGGAACACGTTAGGATTCCCCCGGAGGAGCTGGCCCAAGTGGCTGGGCAGAGGGAAGTCTGGGCCTCCCTGCTTAGGCTGCTGCCCCCGTGATCCGACCCCGGATATGTAGAAGAGAATGGAAGGATAGTTGGCCTGGTCACTGAGCACAACAGCTCACTCAAAGATCAAACTGGTTTTCTGAGTGCTGCATGATTGAGTCTGATCTAACGTCATTCACCAGAGATTCAACTCCCAAGGAAAAGTGATGCAGCAAAGGAAGTGCCACGCAAACACAAAAGCCAATATAAGCAACTTGCAGTAATGGAACTGTGCACACTAATCTGCAAATGTTTCGGTGCATCAGATGTAGAACACAAATCTCGCTGACAGTGATCAAACACACAGTCAGACGCTGACATGTGTACCGCTATGAGCTTCAGGAACAAAGATGTAAACCCCACAGGGACTCTTTGTGGCATCCCTCTGCAATCGTTAAGGCACGTCTCTAAAACCCAGACCGCGTTACCGTGCGTGCATACCAAGCCATCCTTTGTTTTTACTCTGACATTTGTGTTTTTCAAGTGGAGATTAGTTTCTGTGGAAGATTTGATGTCACTTCTTCCACATACCAGGACAGGTTGCCTCCTGTGTGGCATCTTCCAAATTGTTGTGTTAAGAATGCAGTGAGAGAACAAAACCCGGGGGCGCGCGTCACAACACGGAGACAGTAAAATCACAGCCAACGATGCTATCTGAGCACATATGGTGCTGTGAACAGCTGCTCGGTGGCGTGATCAGGCCGTTTCTGATGCACATAAACACACAAACCGACGCACACGCAGGCAGAGAGAGACGTCCCGTTGCTAACACCAGATGAGCCTGACAAGCTCAACCCCCCCGAGCCAAGCTGCGGCTCTCTGATAGGTCTGTCACACGGGCGAGAGAAGTCGACTCGTATATCGCTGAAAACCTGGAAAGTCCCCACCTGCGGAAACGGTGTCACAAGGCCACAAGCTCCAAGCGTTAGCTCGGTGTTCGGTCAGTTTGTTTCTTCTCTGCTGTTCTGCAAAGGATTTTATCTTCATGTCAGAAAAACATAAATAATAAATCACTGGTGGTCGAGCTGGCAGATACTGTCTGTGCAGCAGGCGATTTTTACTAAATACCTAACCAAGACTACTACTGGATTTAGGAAAATATTCTGGGTTTTGTCGTTGAGAACTGTGATTATATTCAACAAACATAACAATGTGAATCAGAATTTTCTGAGAGAGTCTTTGGTGTTGTTGGGAAGATGTGACCTCTCAGGGGTAAATCATTTAAAACCACTGCGACACAGAACAAACAGGAACGTTTTTTTTTATCTTGCTGACAGTTTCGATAACTCCTGCGATTTTCATCAGAGCTAGCCGCTAATGGCAGCGTCACTTCCTTCTCCGTTTATTCGTGGGCAGCAGAGGACTTTAATCTTGCAAAAAAAAAAACATGCATGCCTAAAACAGGCAGTTTCAAAAAGTCCCCATTTGTGATGTCATAACATGGAGAATTTGCATGAAACCATCTCTCAACTAGAGGAGAACAGCTGCCACTAGAGGCCCAGCGGCCCTACTGGGGCTGCCTCCCTTCTCTTGGAGCTTTTCAGCCAATAGAGCTCCGGACGTCACGTGACTCTCAGAGAGTAGACGCCATGTTGGCAGGCAACGAAGGTAAACAAAACGAACGGGATTGGCTTGGATTTTACTCCGTCGGAGTTTACTTCACACTTTAAAACCAAAGAATTTGTTTTATATAGTCAGAAATTAAATAGACTAAACATCTCCGACCCTTACCGTGCCCCTGGGATACTTTTTAAAAACGCCAGAAGCTGTCGGAGCGGGTCTGGCCAGGGAACGCCTTGGGATTTTCCCGGAGGAGCTGGCCTAAGTGGCTGGGGAGAGGGAAGTCTGGGCCTCTCGACTTAGGCTACTGCCCCCGCGACCCGACTCCGGATAAGCGGATGAAAATGGATGGATGGATGGATGGATGGACAAATAACATAGATTTACATGTAAGTAGTTTAAATAGAGTGCTGTGCTGTTTGAATGTATAAACTGAACGCCAAGAGAAATCACTAGTCTGATTTTTTTCCGTGAATAAAATAAATATGTCAGGCAGGAGCGTCTCAGGATCTGTCTGAGAGCTGTCTCGGTGAGACAGATAATAGCAATCCAAAGTGCTTTTTATGTGTGATCTGACAATTTCAACCATTGCTTAAACATTAAATACAGCTTAGCCGGTTAATCGCTGTGAACATAAAACACATAAACGGCAGCACGCAGAAACACGAGGCAACGTTTTACGTGATGTTTACTTGTTGCTATGAGTAATAAGACAGAAAAAGCCACGCCAAAATAAGTTTAGGAAGCCCACTAAGAAACGTAATAAAAGCAGGGACGAAATTTTGATTTCAGAAGTGGGGGGGGACACAGCAGGCTTGTGCGGATTTGGGGTGGGGGTGTTATGTATATATATATCAAAGTTAAAAAATGTACAACTCTATTATTTTTTATTTATTATCATTATTGAAGTGCAGTTTTGGCTGTTGACAATGGATAGGCCATTGTATTTATTGTTTTGGGTCTTTTTTTATTGTTTTTGGTGCAACATTTTCTAACAGGGAGTGAGATTCTTTTTTTATTTAATTTTTGTTTGTTATTTTTATTCATTTAGAAGTTCTGGTTCTGGACATTCCAATGTTAAATGAAGGTTTATTTGTTGCATTTTAAAGGGTGTACTTGCATTATTATGATATATTAACATTATATTAGTGGTTATTTTGGTCTAGATAATGTTGACAATAGGGCTGGGCGATATGACGATTTTAGACCGTTTTACGATCTACACATCTGACGGTCTGTCATTTTTGAGAGACCTTTTCATCACGATTCACAGCTCTGCTGTTGAAATTCTGCCTCTGAATGAAAAGGGAACTTAACTCCGGCGAATGACACGCCTTTGTTTGACCCTTAACCAATCAGAGTGAGTCATAGTAATATATTAGTGCCCAGCTTGTTTTCACTTGTGTGTGAACAAACATGGCTTCGGCCGCGGCTGAGAGCGACAACGAGGTTTTCGTTCCGAAGAGGAACGCAGGGTTTCCTTAGCGCGCGGCGCTAACAACTTAGCGAAGTGACATGTCTCGGAGAAAGCGTAAAAACACGTTGGACGCTTCTTCTGAAGCAGGAAAATAACACCGCTTCTTAAGCAGAGCACGACGTCGCCTCGGCTCGTTCACCCTCTGCCGAGCCGGTGTCGGTACCGGACTGAGCTCGGTCACTGGGTCGTTGGAGCTGCCCCGTGACTGCCTGATGGAAAACCAGCGGGTTTCATCAGACTCGTAGTTTCTTGTTTTTGTTGGGGACCCCCTGTATTTTACCGCTCCCTCCTGCAGTCTTCCCCTATTAACATTTAAAATGATTCTGTAAATCCGTGTATCAATAGAAACAATCTCTGCCTCTGCCAGCTGCAGTAAATGTAGTTTCCAAATAATAAGAGGTGCATTCATCTGTGTATCTCCTTTGATCCACATTAGTGATATTCTCAGCACCAGAACAGTGAAGCAAAGAAAGATTCCTGAGTTTGTTAGTAATTTTATTTATTAGGTGCATAACCTGTTCTATTTTTCTCTGAAATGAGATCAAATCAGTGCTTCTATGGGTTGTCTCCAATCTGCACTGGAAAATTTTACTTTATTTAGAGACTTGTTGCAGAAAATATTCAGAATGCGCAGATTTTTGCTACCACAAGCGATCTCTGGTCCAGCTGCACATCAGAGCCGTATTTGAGCTTAACTATCCACTACATGAGCAACTGGGAGCTACATAGTATTTTGAACAAGTTAATGTTTGCACAATACGTTTGCAATTGACATGTTTGCACTTTAAATATGTTTACGATTTGAATTTATGTTAAGTTACTTGAAAAACGAGAAAAACTGATTTTTGTAATTGTTTCTCTCAGGGCTTTTATCATCTCTGGTGTGAGTTTAAAATATAAGTGTGTTAGCACTGTGCTGATTATCCCTAATATGAATAAATGTTTATTTATTCAATGTTTCTCTTCTTTAATACGCAATTGAAGTTGTGCTATTCATGGATAAAAAATCGTGATAAAATCGAAATCGTGATAAAATATTCGAAAAATCGTGATATTCTATTTTTGCCATATCGCCTAGCCCTAGTTGACAATGATATCGTTTATCATCAACAATTTGTTGGACAATATATCGTCCAGCAAAATTTGTTACTTTCCCAGGCCTATAGTCAAAAGTATAAAAATTATTTATACATAAACGGTCCCTCCTGAGATCTGTCCGTTTGTTCATTTGCTGTGTTAGAGGACATGCTGAACTAATGTTTTACACATGATCATCACCCTAACATTTGTCACAATGATCAATTTTATGTCTATCGTATCTTCATTATTTCAACCTCACCTGTGAGCCTCCAGCCTCTGCTGCATCTCCTCCAGGCTCTCGTCCTCCATCTCCTACAGCCTCCCCTGCTGTACCTTCACCGGTCTCTCCTCCTGCATCTCTGTCGGTCACCTGAAAAAAAGATGCATGAACTATAAACAGTGGGAGATTTTGGAATGGAACAAACAGAAATTTTTACAGGATGGTTCTAGTCTGATTCACAATTATTAATATAATGTATAAATTATTCATTACCAATTTGAGTGTATAAAACATATTAAATATGTGTTTTCCCTTAAAAGTGTTTAAACAGTTGTTGCATTTCAACACACAAAAAATAAATGGAAAAAATAAGATAAATCTAATGAAAAGTGTACATCTTTGACATTAAGCTTAAAAAAATCTCTGTTGACGATGATGATACTGTTCATTTTTCAGAGCTTTTTAATGTGAACATATACATTGCAATAGATACGTTTACAATAAAGTTAAATGATAAAAGTTTTGAAGTTACACTTCTACTACTACTACTACTACTAGTAATAATAATTATGATGATAATAGTAATAATAATAAAAAAATAATAATTATAATAATACGAATAAATTGTGTCTGAGGAGTCAGTTATGTGGAGCAGATGAGTTTGTAAAGGTTAGTTTTGAGTATGTTTGTGAAGGAGGAGGTGAGTCTGAGCTTAATGCAGGTCTGTCACATGTTCCAACTTACGTTTTGACTTTGAAAGAAGTCTCTTATATCCACTTTTCGTTTTCTTGACATGCTGCCGAACAGTTGTTCAAATGTTATGTAATGGAAGCTGAGCTGAGCTCTGATATTACACAGCGTCTAGTTGACGATGTGACTCAGTACCGGTGTTCCCTAGCGGCTCCAAACTAGCAAAACAACGTGAGCACGTTCTGACTGTTTACAACTTGGAGTGACAGCAGCAACAGCCAATAATACGTTAGCAAGTATCAACAGAGCCAATAGATTAGCTTTTGGGCGGGTCTAATAGGAAACCGGTTTCCGTTTCGGTCCTAGTGCTCAACTAAATCCATTTAATGGAGCGGAATATTGTTTTGGGATGGAAAAAAGTGCAGGGGACCAAAACTGCCTTTTGAAAAAGTGGGGGGGGGACATGTCCCACCCGTCCCCCCCCAAAATTACGTCCCAGAATAAAAGCATTTAAAATAAATACCATACACAGTTGAGGAAATGTTGGTTTAAGTACCTGATATGAAGCGGTCGCTGCATAAGCGAAAACCTTTACTCTCGGGATCCCACAGTTTCATTTTAGCCCGGCCACTAGCGCGTTTCATTACAATGATCCAACGTTTGCGGCGTTCCGGATCTTGGGGAATCCTGTAGATGGCTCACTCTTATGTCGTCCCTATCTGTTCTGGCATCCTGGGGCACAACAGGAATCTACCATATTTCCCGTTTGAGTTTTCTGACAATAAATAATAGCCCAGCTGCGGACTTCTGCCTGCCAAGATGGCGCCGCTTCGATTTGAACAGTTGCATTCCGGGAGAAGTGATGTCAACTCCCGGAGCTTTATAGCAAACTAAATGGGGTAGAGGGAGGCGTGGCCAGCTCCAGCTTGTTTTCTTAAAGTGACAGAACCTGGGAACAGCTCATTCTGGAAGGTACTGAAAATGTCAGGAATAAAAATGCGGAATTAGCTTTATGTGAGAGGGATTTAGTGGAAAGAATTTCATGAAATTGTGCTTTTTATGGACCGTAGAACTTTCATACCTTAGGAAATATGTCATATATGTCTCCTTTAAGCAGCAAATAAATGTCCTAGCTGTTAGTGTGTTGGATAACAGCTGTAGAGTGCTGTATAGCTTCCTGATAAGAGACTCAGTGCAGAAATTTTCAGAAAAAATTTACACTTTTGTCCATTTTAATGAATTGTTTATATGTAAACCTTGAAGTCTTGATGTTTGCTCAATCCTCAGTATACGTGAATGAAATGAGAATCTGGAAATGTCATGATGACACAGGGCAACTATTTATATTTTGCAATATTTCTACTCACATTTACCTTTTTGTGTGACTTCTACGTGCGTTAGAGTCAGATCTGTTCAAACACACTGCTGCTGGAAGAGTTTCAGATCCTTTACTGTGTTTCATCTCTGAAGGATTTTCTTTCCTGCAGGCTAAAAAACAACACTCTCATAACGTTGGTAAAGATGGAATCAATACTGAGCTGCTTTTTCTGTCTATAGAAAAATAGTGAAAAAAAACTTTTATGCATGTATAATAACTGGACACACAGCTGGTGTTATGACCCTGACTTTGGATTTATGTAACACAATATGTGACCCCTGCCCTGACCCTTTGCTGCAGGGTCCCCTTCATATGCATGTCATGGTGGCAATTTTCCAAACTATTCTACACCATGAAGCAAATTCATTTACACACTCGTGCATGCTGGGAAAGGAGCAGAGCAGGATGTAGGGCACATGCAATTAGTCAGGAATGCCCCCCACCCCCTCTAACTCACCCAGCATGTGGTTTAAAAATGACACTTGGTGCAAAAATGCTTTCAACGTGTTTGTACAGTAGAGTTAAAGAAACATTTGCTGCTCTGTGGGATGAGATGGAGGCAGCTAGGCACTGAGAAGCATGAAGGGAGGGGGGGGGGGGGTGTGAGGAATGAATAATTCATAACAAAACATGAAGTTAAAATGTTCCTACAGTATGATAAGTGATCAACAGAAACACTTGCTCTCTACATTCTTTCATTGTGTGTGTGTGTGTGTGTGTGTGTGTGTGTGTGTGTGTGTGTGTGTGTGTGTGTGTGTGTGTGTGTGTGTGTGTGTGTGTGTGTGTGTGTGTACTGGACCGATAAGCTGATAAGGATCCAGATGACAGAAATGCCAGGGCGCTTTACTAACAGACAAAAACACGGCAGAGGAAAAGGTTACAAGTTAGACCGCTGCTACTGAAGTCGTCTACTTTCTATCGCAGCACCGCGTGGAACCCGCTGGCCTTCCAATAATCATCACTAGAAGGGTTTCGTTCTCAATTAGGTAACAAAAGTAGGTCACCACGGACAATGAAGGGTATAAAACAGGAGCTGAAGGAAAAAAGAAAAGGGAAAAAAGGGTGAAATTGGTGCAAAAAACACCTCACAGACATGCAACAGACTTCAGACGACACAACATAACATGAGACTTTAATAAGAAGGCGGGGGGGGGGGGGGGGTGTCTGGGATCTTGTTTCCCCCAGCGAGAGCAGCAATCTACGGCGCTCAGCCACTGTAGCCACGGGTGGGAGGGAGATCTTGGGAGAAGCGCAGAGCACATTTACTCCTGCAGGTTGATGACCTTGTTCGGATAACAAGACTTTGTTTGGTCAGGCTGAGATAATTTTCCTCTCTGCCTTCAGTCTTTAAACTGATCATTCAAGTCCTTCAGTGAAGCCAATTTGGGTTTTTTAAACTTGTCCATACCGCCCGGTGACCCTCTCCGAGATGACGATTCACCTCGAGTAACGTCCCAGTCTGCGAAGTCTCCACACGGACGGTGCTTTCCATGGGTGCGGGTCGCCCTCCAATCGCTCCCGTCTCCCCAAATTTCCAGAAAACCAGATATCCTCCCATTCCAATCAGGAGAAATCCAGTGATCATCAGGCCGAATATCCACATGTCTTTAACATCCTCAATGGACAGCTGGGAGAGGCATACGATCTTCCATTCCTTCCAGGAATCCAGCATATACCCCGCCGGGTGTGTCCCCTGTGGGCATGTGGGAGCCCCCTGCTCCGTTCTCATTGTTGAAAAAATCTTATCAATCGCGTTGAATGACCAATTCATCAAATCCATGGTTAAAAATAGGGGTTTTCAGAAGAAATGCAGAGAAGCGCTCTGTGGGCAGACAGGACAAAGAGCCTTGGGAAAAAAAGATAAGGGAGCAAAAAGAGAAGCGTCTGTACTCTGCGAGTGCCAGGAAGAATGTGTCCAGCTCTGGCTTGAGAGCTTCACACAGCGGAGCTGGGACTGTACGCGGCGCATGTACAACCGGCTGGGCATCTTCCTTCAGCTGGATTTTATAGGTAAGAGGCAGCGTACCAAACCCTTTAAACACATCAGAAAAGTTCTGTACAATATTAACAACATCAAACTTTGGGTCTGTTTCTATACAGTACACTCTTTTAACTAGACCTAGTTCTTCACAGCTTTCATCCCCCAACAGTGAATCACATTTTTCATTTACCACAGAAAAATTCACAAGGTATACTTTCCCTTTAACATTCACTTTGAGTTTACAGGTACCAAAACACTCTATGGGTTGGCCATTGTAATCTTTCAACCCTGACCCATTTTGTAAATGTGCGGTTTAACCCGCATTTCTTTAATGTCTCACATGCTAATCAGACTAGCTTTAGTACCTGTGTCCAGTCTCATGGTAACCATAACTCCATTAATCAGTAGAGGAGTGATCCATTTGTCACCACTGGCAGTGCCGTTGGTAGTTTTCCCATCATCTTCACCATTCACAAGACCAACAAAGAAAGTGTCACTTAGATCTGCGTCATCCACTACATGCACGTGTTTGCCCGTTTTTCTCCTTTACTCTTGGTGAAGCATTGTTTTGCAAAGTGATTTTTCCCCCAGCAGTTGGAGCATACCTTACCAAAAGCAGGACAGTGTCCCGGCTTGTGTTGTGATCCGCAGCGCTTACAGATGAACGTTGCCTCCCCGGTCCGCTGTGCGGTCCGTGTCTTTGGGCAACGTCTCCCGCTCTGAAACGACACTGCTCCAATATCTGCTCCATCACTCACAGAAGATGTAGCACAGGCAACAGGCACGCCGAACGTCTTCAGGTGCTTCAGAGACAATTCACTCACCTGGCATATTTTAACCGCCACGTCCAGCGTCAAGTCGGACTCGCGGATAAGCCTCTCTCTCAGCTTTTTATCTTCTACTCCACAAACAATCTGGTCTCTGATCATTGATTCTCTCAAAGTCCCAAAATTGCAAGACTGTGGCTTCAAACGCAGTGCAGTCAAAAAACTATCAAAAGACTCACTTTGTTGCTGCATACGACACCTGAACATGTATCTTTCATAAGTTTCATTTTTCTTCGGAGTGCAGTGAGCATCAAATTTAGCCAACACTACGTCCATCCAGGCTCTGTCCTCAGCCATCTCAAACGCGAACGTATTGTACACTTCTATGGCCTGTGGCCCTGCTAGAGTGAGCAGAAGAGCAATCTTCCTCGTGTCCGGCTTCGTTTCCAGCCCCATGGCCATAACATACAAGTTGAACTGTTGCTTGAAAGTGTGCCAGTTTTCATCAACATTACCCGACAGCTTCAGGTGCTCCGGCGGTTTCAAATCCATCTCGGCACACACAGCGTCTGCTCAACTCACTCAGTTCACTCCTGGTACCGTGTTGTGTTCGTGTCTTTGCTCATAAACCAGGCTGCTAGTTGAACAGGATGAACCTTTTATTCATGTGTTCAGACCACACGCACACTGCTAACTTCCGTCTGTGTGCTTCACTATTTCTGGTAACATCATCCTTGTAGCCTGTCTTACAGCGACCTCTAGTGGTAGCACATTGCAAGAACTACTGATCATAACAAAGCCTGATTCATGTTTCTGCGTCTACGTCAGTGCGGAGACACGTAACGCCATTATCCGTCCTTGCGGGCCTGCTGGCGAGCCCCGCAAGGACGGACGGAGTCGAGCTCTCTTTTCTAAACATCCATCCGTCGCGACGGAGAACGCAAGCTTGTGATTGGTCAGAGTACCGCTGTCGTCGACACCGCCGCCATTGCGCCCTCAAAAACATGAAGAGAGACGAGGATAACTATCAGCAGACATGGAGAAGCTTGAAGAATATCTTGCGGAAAAACTCTAAAAATATGAACGTTTAATAAGCGTTTTATTTGTGGATGGAAATGACAGGAAACGTGGGTTTAGAGGTGGCGAGTGCATGAAGGACAGAGGACAGAGGAGGAGAATGACAGACAAATTTGTCCGTGTTAAAAAGTCTCTTATATACAAAAAAAAAAAAAAAACACAACATAAACACACTATCTTGGACCAGATACATGACAGGATACCACAGAACAGCGCTACGCCCTCTGCTGTCCTGGCGGGGAATTGCTTTGCAACACTCCCCAGGAGACGGAGAAGTATGATGGCAAAATGTCTCCGTCCGTGTGTGTCTTTCCCTGTTGGAGCTGACGGAGAAGCATGAATTAGGCTTTAGGCTCACCCAGTTAACTACCTCGCCATTTAAAGTCACGAACAACAAAAGATGTTTGGATGTCGAAAACAGCGACTGGTGTTTAGCTCTTTCTCGTTTCCGGTTCTGGTATCAGGCGGACGTGACCCAGGGACGATAGCTGAGTTTTCTGTGACCGTGTTTGTGTTTACAAGCCAGCTTGTTTTATGCTATTGCAGTTTTTACCACCTAGTTATTCCACGTCCAAGGAATGTTTGTCGGCAAAGACGGCAGCAATTTGAGGAACTGCTGCCACCTACAGGCTTGGCATGCTTATGAATGTGTTTCACAATGCAATGTATGTTTTCACAGAAAACAAGGTGGCGTGGAAGCTTTCTTCCTACAAGGGCGAGGGAGAGTGACGGACGTAACAGTTTTAGGCCCGAGGCAAACAAAAGCATGGCCCTATTAGCAGATAAGAGATCTGAGTGAATAAAAAACTATTTAATGTTAACGTTTTATTAGTACATTAATGAAGCATAAGATGCTAAATTGTGGGATGGTTTTTTGTTCTGTTTTTTTCCCCTAAGTTGCTTCCAGTGCATTCACAGTTGCAACAAACAAGTGAACACCACCAAAGAAGAGGCATTAAAGGACTGATACGATCAGCCTTGCCCGAGTGATGTAAACATATTTTTCCTGGCACCTGAATGCCTCAGGCAGCGGTTTTATAAAACTGTATTTCCTCAGAAGTGTTGGGCAACAAGGTCAAGAGCCAAGAATGCTCCACAGTCTTTCATTATGTTACAGCATTCAACATGCTTCCAGGTATGTGCGCCATTTCCCCGATCTTGGTTTATCACACACATAAGTGCACTGGCTCTCAAGACAAGAGCAGTGTGTTACTTTGGTTTTCATGTGTGGATAAAGTGTTTTAGGTGGAGATAATCAACAAAGACACAACTGTGTGAGTGTGTTTTTATTCAGACAGCTGCTACGCTATAATGTCAGCCAGTTGGAGGAGCCTGTGGCATGTATAGAAGTTCTCAGAGGAGCTACTCTCAACAGCTGCTCCTCATTCCTCCAGGATTTTTTCTCCTCTTTTAACAGAAACTTTCTCCTTTGATTTTTTTTCTCACTTTCCCTCCACTGGACCCTGGGGAGCTCGTTTTGCTTTTGGCAGCGATTTAAATTCACTATACTATCTGAGCAACCGTAGTGTTTTATTTTTTTCTTTTTCTGGCATATTCTACTGCAACATTTTACAACAGATGATTAACTAATGATGTTTGGGGGATGGCTTTGAAATATCCTGTCCCTTTAAGATTTTGTGACATATGTTAAAGCAGGGGTACTTAAATGAAATGGTCAGAGGGCCATTTAAAAAAAAAAAACAACCTTGAAGGTCCGGTCCAGTG